TCCCCCCCCCCCCCCCCCCCCCCCCCCCCCCCCCCTTTCTTGCGCCCGCCTCTCCTTTTAATCTCTAGAGAGACAAAATACTATCCAAAAAAGACTAAGATAGTCGGACGGACTTAAATTCCACAACTAGGGCGCATTATTACATATTTATGCTATTTACACATATACACTCTATACACTTTAGTACTGAAACGACCAGCAATTTATACTTTCTCAGTAACATTGGCTTTTCGCTTACATTCACGATACCTTGCAACTACTCTCAGTGACTTCAAAAAACTTATTTTTCTCAGTTTCAATTATATTCTAAGAAAGAAATGTAGATTTGATGTGAGCATTGAATCAAAACTATGGGATATTCGAAGATAAAAAGAAAAAAACAAAAACAGTAATAAGTGTGGTTTCAGATGGGAGTACAATTCCATACCCGCCTCAAGCAAAACTGATGCGCAGTGGTCTCGCGAAGTCTTCCATGAATTTTACTATCTGGTTATTCCTTTTAATTCTTTTGCTGTTGATGCTGATCCTCCTCTACCTGTGCTACCAGAAATGCAAGGAGAAGCGTGCACTGTCCCGCGTTGGCAGTGCCGATGCGAACCAGCGTTTGGTTAGTGGTGTCGATACGCAGCACCCAACTACTTCCGGAATTTCGCCACATCTGGGTGCTACTGAATTCACGAAAACTGATACTGCTGGTGCAAAAACAACAACAACAACTACTACTGCAACAGTAACAACCACAACAACAGCTATTACTACAAATGCAATGACTAGCGCAGCTAACAACACTGGTGCTGACGGTGGCCAGGTAATAATGGCATTAGATGCAAATTCAGGCAACGGCACCCAAGGTGCAACATCAAGGTTGGTGATTTTTTTTTTTGACAGTTATAATCGAAAACAAACCTCCTTTTTGCAAGACAGGAAAAAGGGGTCATAAAAACAAGAAGGCTAAAGCTAGTGAAAAATAGGGACCAGTTTTCAACACTTTCAAAACAATCAGGTTTTGGAAAAACCTTGCCACAGAGTCAAATCCTGTCAAGGAGCGTTATGATCAGCAAACGAAGCGTTTTTCTTGCAAAATTCTGCATAATTTTGTTTCTCCGATGGGCAGGACAGATGAATACTGGTCCTGTTGAACTGACGTTTGCTTTTAAGAATGTTCACTGCTTTATAGTTTGATGAATACAAGAACAGTCGAAATATTGCCCGTTTCCTGAGCTGCGAAATTTCCCATCGAAAATTTCGCAAACCCGTATGCGCAAGTTGAGTTTAAATTACAAGGTCGTAAAAGAACAAAAACAATCTTTGAAAATTCCAGCTTTTTGTCTTCCCAGTTCGCATACTAAGAATTTCATAGGTGAAATCTTACATATCCCTATGTGAGGCACAAGCTGACATAAAAGCTGAATTTCAAATTCCAGAGTTGCGCAGTGAAAGGAAGTATCATCTCAAATTTCCAGATTTCAGTCTTGTCCGATCCCTGAAGCAGAAAATTTCCCGCCAAATCCTTCATGTGTCTGTACGTGAGACCCAAGCATACTTAAAAGCTGTGCTTAAATTTTTATAGTCGTAAATGAACAGGAATCATCTTCCTGAAATTTTAGCTTCCTAGCTTTTTTGACCCCAAGCCAATAAATTCCCAGCCAAAATTTTCACGTGCCCATACGCGAGATTTGAGCGTACTCAGGAACTAGATTCAAAATAGACTGCAAAAGACCGAAAATTTGCAAATTCTAATCACATCATCAGTTACTAGTTAGCAAAATAAGGGTGTGTCCTGCTGTGGTACTCATTCCTGTCACTTAAGAGCCATTATATACGATTTTTCTTGTGCTTTTGCACATATGTTGAGTTGATATGATATTGATGGCGCTAAATCTTTTTTTTTCCTAAATCTTTTAGCGCAACACAGGTTTTTCTAAACATATACGATTTTGAAAAACTTCGTTCTTCCCGATATTTTTTTGGTGTCACAGGCATAGATATGAGGTGGGTGACAGCGCTTAGTTCAACTCATGGTCAGTGCCTCCGTAGTGGGCTTCAGTGCTACACTCACTAATTTTCTTATAGGCAAGCAACTGCACTGACAATTCCGGGTCAAAACCCGCATTCAGCACGACAGTTAAATTTGGAACGGATTGAACCAACTGTGCTGACAATCGAACCGCGTTACGACTCCCGGCAACTAACAGAAGAGCGCCTTTCAGCGCCCAGCCGGAACAAGCAAAACGTGCTATACGGAGAGCGAGAGGGTACAACAAGTGGTACTCGGACAAGAGAGGAAACACTGCTGAAACTTCGTCGCGGTGAGCTGTTCGAACGCCCTCGGATGTCCGTTCTGGACCATACGTCAGCAATCAGCTTGGATGAATTCTGGAACAAAAATGACACTTCAACAATTGTTCGGAATGAGAGGAGCTGAAGGAAAAGAGAGAGAGATGATGGTTATATTTGTAATATGCATTTAGTGCCTCCCTTATGTACGCTTCTCCGCCAGTTTCTTCCAATTATTTTAATTATTTTTCCGTAATATCAGTAATCTTAAAATTCTGTTGCATGTACTACACTGCCCACTGAATGGAAAAATCGGCAACGTAATTTCCTGACAACTGCCACCAATATTCTCTATCATTTCAATACGCATTTAGTAATTCTGAGCGAACATAAATCCAGTATGCACATGCATCTTCAGCAATGCCCAAATGACTTCTTGAAATAGAATCAGTTTACAGCCCATGATTCCCCCCCCC